CCCCTTCCCTCCCCCCCTTCCTACCTCACGCCCCAAAACACCCCTTCTGCAGCGCCCACTTACCAAATCTGGAGTGCTGCAGACCCAATAGACTGACCATAGCCTCCTCAGCGCTTACCTGCCGAAAGAAAAAAAAGAAAATTTGCATTAAAACACATTGTAGTAGGCGTCCGGATGTGTGGATATAATTAGTCTTACGTCACTCATTATCATAAGTGAAGTGTAATGACATACAGCGTTCAGGGAAAGGGAGCCAGAACATTCTCGTGTCATACATAACACTTAGATATGAACAAATCTTGCGTAATTCTTGGCATATTTTCCTAATGCCCTGCTCGTATATTCCGTCTGCTATCAAACCGTATTTTAAAATGCTAATCCCTAACCATTTCATAAATATAGAAAGGGAGGAGAGGAGAGAGAGGAGAGCGTAAATGAGAGGAGCGAGAGGAGAGGAGAGGAGAGAAGAGAGGAGAGGAGATAAATGAGAGAGCGAGAGGTGAGGAGAGGATGGGGAGGAGAGAGGAGAGGAGAGGACAAATGAGAAAAGCGAGAAGAGGAGAGGAGATGCGAGGAGAGGATAAAGGAGATGAGCGGGAAGAGGAAGAGAGAAGAGAATACGTGAGAAAAGCGAAGAAAGGAGGAGAGAGGGAAAGAGAGGAGAGGAGATGAGAAAGAGGGAAGAGGAAAGAGAGGAGAAGAGATAAGAAACTTATCTCGAACCAGAATGAAAATACTTCCGAGAGCACAGTGGAAAAAACATCAATTCTAATAATCAACAAAAATAAATAAATACGATAAAAATATAAACTTACATCGAACCAGAATGAAAATAATTCCTAGAGCACAGTGAAAAAAACATCAATTCTTATCAACAAAAATAAATAAATACGATAAAAATACCAACTTATATCGAACCAGAATGAAAATAATTCCTAGAGCACAGTGGAAAAAAAACATCAATTCTAATTATCAACAAAAATAAATAAATACGATAAAAATATAAACTAATAAAAATAAAATAATTCCTAGAGCACAGTGGAAAAAAACATTATTCTAATTATCAACAAAAATAAATAAATACGATAAAAAAAATACGAACTTAATCGAACCAGAATGAAAAATAATTCCTAGAGCACAGTGGAAAAAAAAAACAAATTCTTATCAACAAAAATAAATAAATACGATAAAAAATACCAACTTATATCGAACCAGAATGAAAATTTCCTAGAGCACAGTGGAAAAAAACATCAATTCTTGTCAACAAAAATAAATAAATACGATAAAAAATACAAACTTATATCGAACCAGAATGAAAATAATTCCTAGAGCACAGTGGAAAAAACATCAATTCTTATCAACAAAAATAATAAATACGACAAAAAAAAACTTACATCGAACCAGAATGAAATAAACAGTGGAAAAAAACATCAGATAAAAATACCAGAACCAGATTTACCCAGATTCCTTTTCCTTCCAGATGAGCCCATTACAGTGAATTTAAAGGGAACCTCTCGTTTCCCAAGGTTGCCGTAGGCCTATACGCTGGAATACGCACATTCTGAACGCAGCTCCCCATCCGAGCGTTGTGGAATCTTAAATGGCTTTTGCAATCAGCCGAATAAATTAATATAATAATAATAATAATAATAATAATAATAATAATAATAATAATAATAATAATAATAATAATAATAATAATAATAATAATAAAATAATAACAATAACAATAACAATAACAATAACAATAACATTAACAATAACAATAACAACAATAATAACAATAATAACAATAATAACAATAATAACAATAATAACAATAATAATAACAATAATAATAACAATAATATAAATAATAATAATAAATTAATAAATAAACTCGAGCAAATTCGACATAGGCCTATCTTATGCATTTGTAGTTGGTAGAAAGATGGGATTTTGTCATTCGGAAATCAAAGGGGTTTGTGGACGATAAGAAAACCTCGATTGGTTACGAAACCTCGACGACGGAATTTCCCTTGTGTAGGCCTATTCGCAGCCTGGCGCGAAACTGAGACGTAGAGCATAGGCCTACGACTTTGAGAAACCGGCGAGAAAAAAATTTGAGGACAATTAAAAAAAAAAAAAAAAAAAAAGAAAAAAGAACGAAGCTAACCGGAAACCCACGACGGAGATGAAGAGAACACTTCAGGCTGAACAGAAAACGAACACTGCTTATCGGTTTTCCACTCGACTTTGCCGCATCGACGTCACCTCTCGCTCTCTTCTGCTGTCGCTCTCTCTCTCTCTCTTTCTCCTTTTCTTTCGCTCTCTGTCTCTGTCTCTCTATCTATCTTCTTTCTTCTCCTTTCTTTCTCTTTTTCTTTCTCCTTTTCTTTCTCTTTTTCTTTCTCCTTTTCTTTCTCTCTTTCTTTCTCCTTTTCTTTCTCCTTTTCTTTCTTCTCTTTCTTCTCCTTCTCTTTCTCTTTTTCTTTCTCCTTTTCTTTCTCTCTTTCCCTCTGTTTCTCTTTCTATATCTTTCTATCTATCTATCTATCTCTATCTATTTATATCTATCTATCTTTCCTTCCCCCTCATCAGAACAAACAGACACATACGAATACACACACAATTAAAGATCTCTTTGCACACACTGAGCGTCTATGTGGAGGCTGCAATAATTACTGCTACAGGTGCGTCCGTAAATGGTATATGGAGAGACAGAACGAGAAACAGGTATATCAAAACAACGATAACTGGGAGAGAGGGAGGGAAGGAGAGAAAGGGGAGAGAAGGAGAGAGGAGAAGAGGAGAGAGGAAGGAGAGGAAGGAGGAAGGAGAAGAAGAGGGAGGAGAGGAAGGAGAGAAGGAGGAGGAGAGGGAAGGAGAGAAGAGGGGGAAGGAGAGAGGAGAGGGAGTGGGAAGAGAGAGGAGAAGCAGGGAGGAAGGGGAGGAGGAAGGGAGAGAAGGGAAACGAGGAGAAGGGAACGAGGGAAAGGAAGGGAAAGGAAAGAAAGCAAACTGGGTGAAGAACGAAGGGGGGTAACGAAAAGGAATAGGAAAGACCCGAGAAAGGAGAGAAGGGAAGAGCAAGAGAACCACGGAGGGATGGAGCGAAAAGAGAAGGAGTGAACATCCCGACACTCTACGCCCTCCTGCTCCCGGGATGCTTGGCGGCCCAAGAGGGCATCCCGCGGAGTCTATTTCGAAGCCCTCCCAGGCAACGCGCCCCCCCCCCTGTCTGCCTGTCGATTTATTTTCTCCCACTCTGTCTCTTGTCTCTGTCTCTACCGCTGTCTCTCTCTGCCTGCCTGCCCCCCTCCCCTCTCCTCTCTCCCTCTCCCTCTCCCTCTCCCTCTCTCTCCCTCTCCCTCATTTCAAGTCGCTTCGTTAGCGGTCTCCCAGGCAACGCCGGTGCAAAAACAGACGAGCGGAAACCAGGATAATAAGACGGGATAAGAAAGAAGAAACACGTGATTACCCTTGCCAGTTACCGATTTCTCGATCTTCTCCTCGCCTTCTTGCCCTTCTTACCCTTACCCATCCTCCACCCCCCGGTACAAAGAACACCCCCCCCCCCCGGTGGTATGGATATTTTAATGAGATGGAAGTTTCCGAGATTTTTATCCGACCGCTAAACGCAGCCCATTAATCCTCCTCTGGCAAAAACACACCACACCCCTCCTCCTCTCCTCCCCCCTCCTCCTCCTCCTCCTCCTCCTCACCACTCACGTCCTTAATCCTCCTATCCTAAAAGCTATCCCACACGACCCGTCCTCTCTTCCATCCTCTCTTCTCGCCCTCTCCCGTTATCCTTCCTCTCTCGGGATTAACCCCTCTCCCCTTCTCTTCCTCCCTAACCTCTTCTCTTCTTTCCCTTCATCTTTTCCCTGAGGAAGATAAGGCTAGATCTGCCTGCCACGTATTATCCAATCCCTCCTTCCTTCTCCCTCATCTCCTCTCTTTCTCTATATTCCCTCTTCACTCTCCTCCTCCCCCCCTTCTTTTTCTTCTCTCTTCACTCCTTCTCTCTTCTCCCCTCTTTCTCTTCTCTCCTCTCTCCCCCCCCTTCTTTTACTTCTCTCCTCTCTCTCCTTCTCTTTCTCTCCTCTCATCTTTCCCCCCCTCTTTCTCTTCCTTCCTCTCTCCCCCTTTCTTTGTCTCTTCCTCTCTCCCTTTCTTTCTCTTCTCTCCTCTCCTCTCCCCCCCTTCTTTCTCTCCTCTCCTCTCTTCCCCTTTTTTCTTCTCCTCTCCTCCTTCTTCTCTTCCTCTCTCTCCTCCTCTTCACCTTCCCTCTCTCCTCCCTCTCTCCCCTTCTTTCTCCTCTCTTCTCTCTCCCTTCTTTCCCCTGTTCTTTCCCTTCCTCCCCGCACCCTCCCACCCCCCTCCTCTGCCGCAGGACACCTGGGACGTCCCCGCTACAGGATATCACACCTTCTCGCTTTCCAGGGCCGCGTCACTGCTGGTTCCCGTAGGATATACTGTTACATTGCCCTACGGCGGGGCGGATCTCCTTCCTTCCTTCCCTCCTTCCCTCTTCTCTCCCTTCCCTCCTTCCCCCCTCTTCCCTCCCTCTCTTTCTCTTCTCCTCCCCCCTTTCCCTTCCTCCCTCCCTCCCTCCTTCCTTCCCCCCTTCCCTCCCTCCCTCCTTCCCCCTCCCTCCTCCCTCCTTCCCCCTTCCCTCCTTCCCTCCCTCCTCCTCCATCCTCCCTCCCTTCCTCCCTCCCTCTCCCTCCCCTCCCTTCCTCCCTCCCTCCCTTCCTCCCTCCCTCCTATGTCCCTCCCTCCCTCCCTTCCCCCTTCCCTCCCTCCTTCCCCCTTCCTCCCTCCTTCCCCCCTTCCCTCCCTCCTTCCCCCTTCCCTCCCTCTCTCCCCCTCGCACCAAAACTTCGCTTCCATGAAAGCAAAGTGGTTGTAATCATCATAATAGGCCGAGTGTTATACGGTTTGTTACTTTGCTATTGTTAATTTTTGTCCTTTCATCTTATACAGGTTGTTCTTTTGCTTGATCTTTACTATTT